AATGTGATAAATACATTAAACCTACTATTGAAATAATGCTTTATATAATATATCGCGAAGAACGATTGCATAGTTACAAATAATTTACAACAATAATTTATAATTTGAAGATTATAAATTTATATAGCTATTTTTAAAATTCTCTAATATTGGGTTAACAAATCGCTCTAAATAGATTGCAAGTTTAGATTTTAAAATGCAAAATATTGTAGATTGTTGAACGTTACAATTATTTAAAAATCTGAACATAAGAATTTTTACATAATTCTTTATATATATATATATATATATATATATATATACTAGTAATATTTTTCAACCCCTTTTAAAAAGAAACAAGTGCTTTTTCTGGCAGACTAAAATATTGTATCATTATGGTAATGGCAACACGAATACATCAGTAAGAATCAGCGAAAGTGCGCGACACTTGCAAGTTCCTCATACATTAAAAATTGAAATACATTATAAACGATATAAAACTCAAAACTCGTTGTATGTGATATCCTTAAAGTGATTTAATTAATGGACAATCAATTTTATTAGTAATAATTTGACATAGTATATGATCTCTTTGTCTACCACTCTACCTGATTAATATTCGTTAAAGTCCTTTACTTTGTATTGATAGTATTTCTATTAAAGCACAATATTTTGCTCGGTAAACGATAGTAATGAGATTTCAACAAGGGCATTTAGATTGCTTTAAGAAACAACAACAAAGAATTTTCAAAACATAATTGCTCCACGACTAATTAATATTGCACAGAGCCTAGAATAATACATGAGCTTCGTTTTAAACAAATTCAAACATCTCACGAGCACTTTGTTAAATTATTAATAACAATATAATAAATCTACTTTGATTTTAATTAAAGACGGCGAACATTTTAAAAAGAATATGCAAATGTATCTCTCTCGCGAGAGTTATTAGAACTTTTATAGAAAGCTCTCATCAAGTTGCAGACCGAGCTTTGGAGGAAAGGGGATGTTTTCTTTAGCATTATTGGACGCCAAGATTTATACTCGAGAAATTCTCAAAGTTCAAATCTACTTAACAAGAATATATAAGTATATAATAGGTTCTATATGATGAGTTTAATAATAAAATATGTATATGATAAGTTTAATAATATTTTATGCATAGCTATTACTAATACCGTATTAGTACAAATAGTACAACATATTTATTATATTTGAATCTTTTAATCATTACTAAATATTATTGTAAATTTATGTTTATAATGCTTTAGAAATATTTGAATTTATTTTGAATGATGTTTTATTCTGGTAATTTTTAATAATAATATTCAGTATGACAATGTTTTAAAACTTTTTTGTCTATGTAAAATAAATAATTTAGAATTTCTTTAATAGTGATGATATAGATGATTTGAGTGTAAATTAAAATACAATGAATCCAGATATAAAATATAGAGAAAGGGATATATTGATCAGGAGAAAATGTGGTGTGGAAGATTCTATATATTCTATCGCTAATATATTTTTGGTATGTTTAATCCCAATTGCCTTTTGAGAACCATGTATCCTTTAAAAAGAAGGATGTCCTGAACGTCTCGGCTTCATCGGTAATGAGCTTCGCTCGAAAGAAATCGCTCATTAAAATGAGAGCGCTTATATTACTCTCATGAATATACACGATGTTTATTTGACGAACAAACGGTCGGGGACGCTTGAAAGATAGGCAAAGGATTTGACAGATTTACGGGTAACTTTTATTCCTTTGAGGACACCTTTACAAAATGATCGGAATATAAACAAAAGAACTGTTGTCTTTTTCATTTGATTTTGATTACAATTTAATATCAACATGATGCCTTTCTTGTGCTTTGAGTTTAATAATAATGACGCTTCATTTAAATTCAGCTTAATATTATACAATATGGATCTTATACAAATAGCACGTAGTGCATAAAATAACCATAGGTAAAAGATGTGCCCAATATTTTGCGCTATCTTGGTATTCAGTCTAAAAAATTATATTTTTACAAAGTTTGTACTATCGTTATTAAAATATAATAATATTGAAAAATATTGGATTGTTAAAAATATACTATTTATAAAGGAAGGCAAAGCTTTTGCCAATAATAACGACTAAGTTTAATCCTTATTAAAACATAAGTTAATAAAATATATATAAGTCATAATGAGCCTTAACAATTTTCTTGTACAAATCAAAATATTTATAGAGCTATTTTATGATAACTAATTGTAAGGCAAAGCTTCGACTTACCAGCCACAAGGTTTCCTGTTTAAATTTAGCTTGGCGTAATTGCTTATGCTAATTTTTTATGAAAAAAAAAACAAAATTACATAATACCATACATATATCGTTTTCGTACATATTTAATATATTTGCTCATTTATATATTTTAATATATATGCATACAACGCAATAAATAAAATATTTAAAAAAGTACCTGCAATATTATATAATATATAAATGTATAGCTAAAATAGATGAATGGTATATATATATATATATATATATATATATATATATATATATATATATATATATATTGCTGTAATTAGGCATTACCATATCCCTATATCATGGATTATTGTTTTCATTGATTTTAATATTAGGATAAACAAATCGTAAGTACTTTCGTACTTACTTTTTTACTTGAAATTTTATATATTTTTTGTTCCATATTTTAGTTTACTAGCGAATACTAGTTATAGCCATGACGGATAAATTTTATTAGAAAACATTTGTTAAGAAATGCTTGTTTTTTTATAGATGTTCTGCCCTATTTTTAGACTCGGTAAACAAATATAATATCATATTCAGAATTTAGCATTTCGTCAAATTTATGTATAATTGCAAATAACTATTTTGTCAAATTTATCATTTAGATTCTAAATTCTAAATTTTAAAATTCTGATTAGAGCTATTTGAGTATAGTTTTGTAAACTATATGAAAGAATAACGTAAGCTGTGTATACTCCAACAAAATTGTTAATAAAGTCATACCTCGCAGTATATATAATACATGAAGATATGTGTATTTATTTAAATCTCTTTGTATACAAATAAGTTACAGCATCTTCCTGATTTATGTGCAGGGGGCACGGAAACACATTTTTAATAATATATTATTCATGGGCTGTAAGTCGCTGTAGGTACGTCGGGAAATTCTTATCCATTTATTGATCAGATCCTGTATATAAAGTTATGTATGAGAAATATAGGTACGTATAAAAAGCTTTAAAATACATCCCTTTATGCCAAGAGAGAAATATGATGTCCCTCAATTTGAATATTATAAATATCAGTCATTCGTATTATCGTAAACGCAATAAATGTTAAGAATCTTATAATGGCCACAGTTTGATTTGATACTGTTATATTTGTATATATATATTTAAAAACCGTCATCTTCAGTAAAAATATATTTTCATATTTATAGTTTTCAATTTTCATTCTTAATTTTTGAAGAAACATACATACTTTAGGGATTTGCCGTTTAGACTTATTTTTAAAAAATATGCATTCTCTATTAAAGCAATTTTATCAGCTAAACGTATATATATATATATATATATATATATATATATGTGTGTGTGTACTATTTTAGCTAGTTAAAATTATTATCACTGAAATATGTTGTATTCCTTTAAAATAATTGAGGCAATGTTTAAAATATCATAACGGTGTATATATGGTATCTATATGTATATATTTATATACAAAATCTCTGTTCATTCAAATAAGGAATCCGTCGAAAAGAAACCAGTTTACAATACAGTTATAGAAATTCCATTGTGATGTTAAACGCCGAAAAGTGAACTGTAAATACAATTATAAACAATTAGCATGTATAAATTTATTTTAAAATAAGAAATACAATCAGTATATATCGTGTATTTAATCAAGCGTCTGTGAAAAAAAAAACAATTTAGTTGTAAGTTTTAGCAATAATATTATCGACGTGATAAAGATCATGATCACTTAATTTTGTTGCAAATCATCGATACCTGTAATCCTAAAGTATTTCATATCATTTACGCAAATGAATTGATTAAACATTTTTTATCGGATAAAATTAATTATCACAAATATTTTCATCAATTAATTCATGATCATGGGATTAAAATCGTAAATCTGTTCCCATTTGCTTATTTGTGACGTGGGTATACATAAATAGGGTTTTATAATTATAAAAATAATTTGATTATAAATGTAAAATTGAAGAGTAAAATTTGCAAATAAAATATAATAATGAACAAAATTAATTTCATAATGACAATTTTATAATTCAAGTAAATAATGTAAAAAATTATTTTTAGATATTTTTTTATATTTGAGATCCACTTAGAACTATAACAATTTATTTACTCTAATATATATAGTAAGTTTCGTTGTCAGTATATATATTAATTGCATTACTAATAATTAATTGATTATGTAGTTAATTTTATTTTTTCTAATAGTTGTTGCTGAAAATATCTAGTTTAATTTTGAATACCTTCTAAATTGCTTAAGAACTCAATAATGAAAAATATTTGATCCAATGGTGTAGAAAAATTAGAACTTACTTAAAGAAATTTCAAATTTGATCTTTCGAATATTATTTAAGTTTTTACTATTTAGTTATATATAGAAAACTGTTTTTCATTTATATTTAATTCGATGTTTTCACATTTTGTATATTTTTTGTATATTTTCTAAATATGTGCTATAAAGCCCTGGTTAAAGCAACCAATTCATATCACTAAAAATGTACTTATCATACACTTGTGTATAATATATTATACATATATGTATACATGTATATATATATATATATATATATATATAACAATTTCTACATATTTTTATAGAAAATTCCGGGTATAAATAGCGGTAATCATTGTTTGAGGGCAGGATACAGCAACATCAGTTCGCAGACGTCTATTATTTGCATAGACATTGTATAAACAATGTTGAAGAATTTCATTTTGTTAATATTTTCACTGCATTGTGTATCTTCCAGAACCATAAATTACGAGTCGGATGATAAAGGTAAATATTTATGCTGAATTTATATATTAATTTCCTAAATAATATTTGCTCTTGCTATATTATTTTGTAAATTAAATTAGTAGTATTCAATAATCTTATATCTTATAATATGTAACAACTTAATATATATATATATATATATATATATATATATATATATATATATATATTATATAACATAGTTACATGTTACTATTATTTGCAAAGTATTCAGCAAACACGAGCTGCTTAAGCAATTGATAAACTTACATATGCATGATTTTTTGTAATTTTTTCCAGCTTCAGCCGGATGTGAAGTTGCAATAACTGGGGGTCTAGGAGACCCTCAACCGTTGTTCATTATCCCTGGGACCGACAAATTCTTAGAACCTAAAGATGACTCTGGCATTTTACGTCTGGAATACAATCAAAAAGTAGAGCTAGCATGCGCTGGAAGTGAATTTAGCACTTCAAAAATGCCTTGGTTCTGGTGGCTGACTGGGGCCGTCTATGTTGAAACTATGATGGCTACTTGTATTGAGGTAATTAGATTTAATATACATCGAGTTTTATAAAAAAAAATTAATCATGATAATTGTATACATCCGTATATTAGTACTAGATATATGAATACAATATAATGATTTTTTTGAGATGTTCAAATCAGAAATCCTTGAAACAAGTTGGAAATAAATATGTGTAAAGAATTTAATTTTTTTTAAAAATGTCATTTAGCAACTTAAATTTTCATGAAATATATTTCTCGAAATCTAATCAGTGCGATTCCCAACTTGTTTCTTTCGAACGGCTTTTAATTTTTTAAGTGGGATCAATATTTGACAGAAACACGATTAAGAAAACATTCACGTTAGTTAAAATAATTATGTTATCATGAGCTTGCACAATAATTAATACATTTAACGTTTCTTGAAATTTGTCATAATTTGCATGCTTAATATTCCCAAATTTTTTGCTCAATTCCATTACCCTACATTTCAATCAAATAATCATCACCACTCGCCCTTCTTTTTTCTTTCTTTTATCATTTTTCGTACCCAAGGAGTTTTAATAAATGTATATTAATTAAAATTTTCAGGGCAGCTCTTTCGAATTGCCTTGGGGCAAGTCGAATATCAGCACAGCCCGTTGTGTTTCAAACCCGTATCACGAAGCCAAACCCACGGGTCGCAGATGCGGTAGAAGAGAAAGCCGATCCGAAATCTATGAAATAGGCTTTCAATTATCGTCCGGAAGAGTTTTAAAATTGTTCGACCTATGTCATGACAGGGATATGGCAGAGACTCTATATAGTCATCATAAAATGACACCTGCCAATGCGGGATATCAGCATTCTGTGCCTAGGCCAAACTTTATTCAAGGAAAGCACTATGATTTTTCAGTTGATAACGCTTATAAGTGAGTATTGTTACCAAAAAATCGTGAATAGAATAGAATTAAAAAAAAAACATTTAATTGAGTAATCCACTTAATTTTGTAAATTACCAAAAACAATGTAATCAATTTAATGGATTACAAAGTCTAGTAGTTACTTAAGATAAGACATTCTGATGGAATTAGTAATTCTACTTCAATAAATGCCGCTTTCCAGTAAGTACTTATTCAGTTAACACTCTTGAGTTTTTTTCTCAGTTATCAACTGCTTTCAAAAAATGATAATTGATAGTGATTAAGTACACAAGCATTAATCACTTTGGCATTTTCAATCTCTTAGTTCAATTATAATAATGAATTGAACTTTATTAAATAAATTAAATTAAATATATGTAATTATATCAATTATAGGGCAGAAACACGTTGAATGCCCTGAAAACAATGTAATTAGTATACATTTTAATGACTTTTGATATCTCAACCACTTTTTTAGGCCTCTAGTTTTTTAGGTTGTTTGGTTAGACCATGATTTCTTACTGCATGCTAAGTTTCATCTAATTTATTGTAATTATGAAAAAAAACGGCCCGGCCGATCTTTAAAACTTATCAGCACGATACCAAGCTGATGATTTTCTAACGGTTTATAATTTTATAAATCGTTTCGGTTCAACCGAACACAACTCAAAAATCATTCATGCATGCATACTTTTTTGCAACTTGGTTCAAACAATTCAGAATAACTTGAAACATCGAGAAAACATAAAATTAGTGAATAAAGTGGAATTTCCTGGCGATAACAAACTTCTGCTTTAGAAAGATAATATAACATTTAGTAATTTATATATTGCAAATTTTCATGACAATGGTACTAGCATTTTATAACAGCAGTAGTCACATTCGGGCATAAAAAATGCATTATCAGTTAAAACATTATAAATGTAAGATTTCCCATATCCACTTCACATGAAGTACTCTCGAACTAACATTGTGAAAAATATGTTTATCATCTAATCAATTCTAATCGATCAAAAAATCAAGTAGTCATATCCAATCTGGAGAACTATTTGGAACTTGAAAAATAATAATCAATATATTCAAAGAAAAGCGAGTACTTAACATTTACCTAATCTCACGTTTCAGGAGAAAGTCTCAGAAGTCAATGATCGCAAAAATTCTAAATTCAACTAAACTGGCAAACCAACTAGTGCACGATACGAACGATTACTTCATGGCCCGTGGACACCTGGCCGCTAAGGTGGATTTTATATACGGTTCGCAGCAGCGCGGAACGTTCTATTTCTTGAACGTTGCGCCCCAATGGCAGACATTTAACGGGGGCAACTGGGAACGCGTCGAGTCCTCGGTGAGGAATTTTGTGAGCGCCAGAGGAATCGAGGTGAGAATTAATTCACGATTAATAGATTATGCTGGCTGTTTCTCTAGCTTTTGTACACCCATTTTCTCTCTTTGTGGAAGAAATATAAATTGCTTAAATAGATGAAAGACTTTAAATCTTGGTTATTTAAAGTACTGCCTAATTTTATTTTATTATGATTATTTTATTAATCATAGCAAACATATAGATACATTGTAATCAGGGGGCGTCCATTAATCACGTGAGGTTTTTAGGGGGAGGGGGGGGTTTGACAAAAAATCACGAAATATCACGTGGGGGAGGGAGGGTATAGTAAGATATCACGTGCATTTATTTTTTAACTGACTCATACGCAGCGCCGTCAACCTCATATCGAACAATAGCGATATTCATTTACACTTGGAAATATAGATCCAAAATACGAATCCAAGTAAAAGTAGCCTTCTCCGGTCTTTGCTGCATGTAGTATATTTTTTATAAGTTTTTTTATACTAACTGATAACCCAATGCAACTTAGTATTCTTGAAAATTGTACAATGGTGTTCTCTTTATATCGTTGATACTTTTTAAATCATTTCATGGAACTAATAATTAATTAAAATATTAAGGTTTGATTACGTTTCAACTGCTATCTTTGGTAGGACAATATTAAAAAAAAATACACGTAAACCAGTGTTTACGCCCAAGACTCAACCATGGTCTAATAAAATTAAATAATTAAGTTCATACATAATAGAAATAGTAAAACCTAATCCCTTTTATTACAATATGCCGAAATTCAAAATGATCCCTTATCCTATCATTTATCGGACTTTCTAAGAAATTCAGCTTTTTTAAACTTGAGCCTTTAATACTAAATCACAGATCGATATATAATAAAATAATGAATTAAATAGGCAGTTGCTTGCTCCCAAAAATCAATCAATCAGAAAAATAATATAAAAATATTAAAACTTGTAATATCTCAACATTCATCTATGTAACATCAGTATTAAATCAACATTCAAACATCATAACATTAACATTCAAACATATCAAAAATTATCTGACAATCTGTAACACCGTTTTATTTTATCTAAATAACAATATTTTAAACTATATATCATTTTTTAATGGCCTGATAAAGCCAATAATTTTATCTAGTCATTTGGCGAAAAGTGATCTATTTTAACAGAGTTCGGTAGCATCTTGGTGTATCACGAGCTTTTTATATGATTTATGTTAAGAACTAAGCATTTCATAAATAACACAAATTATTTTTATTCTCGCCCTAAAAGTCTAGCTGATCGAAACTATAATCAATGAGCAATATTAACTGCATAACCACAAAAATAATATGTTGTAACAAAATTATACAATTCACACACACACACACATATATATATATATATATATATATATATATATATATATTATATTGTAATTGAGTTTAATATATAAGATCTTAAACATTAAATTAAAAATAACCACACGAGGAATTTGTAATATCCAGTTTCCCAAAATAAGTAACAAAATATATTTTCAGGTTGATCTCTACACGGGCACAAACGGTATCTTGACATTCCCAAACGAAAAAGGCGAGCAAAAAGAGATCTATCTGAATTTCGACAATAACGCAAATCCTAGATTACCCGTTCCGAAAGTTTACTACAGAATCATTTACGAACCTAAGACCAAGTTGGGTGTGGTGTTGATAGGTGTGAATAATCCGTACGCCAGTTTAGATGAGATTAGAAAGGACTATGTCTACTGCACCGACGTAATCTCTAAACTCGATTGGTTGCATTTTGATTCAAAGGATGTGAAACGAGGTTATACGTATGCATGTGAGGTGCCTGAGTTCTTGAAAACGGTTCCGGACGCACCTCAATTAGATGTTAAAGGACTCTTATTGTGATAACTGATGGAAGTTTCAATATAATAGTTTATTTATAAAAACATTATTTATTTTATTTTATATTTTGTAATAGATATAGTCCACGAAGAGTAGAAACTTGAAGTTTGAAACAATTACGTAGAACTGGAGTTTTGAACAAACATTTATTTTTCCAAGACTAATAATGTATATGAATGCCATTGAAAACTTTTCACGAGACAAAAGTTATAATTCGTGCTTTTTGCATTGTTCGAGTACTTTATATATACATATATATATATATATACATATATATATATATATATATATATATATATAAATATGAATTTATGGCTTTAATACCCTGAGAGTCTCAGCTGGATCCATGTTCACAAAAAATTCAAAATAAAATATGGATTCAAAGCAATGAATATATAAAATTTATAAAATTTAATAATTTAAAAAAACATTAAGTACATATTGCAGAATAATTCATTTTCTAGGTGGGCTACAAATATAAGTTATAAGTTAATTATATAGTTGTAATAATGCATTGAAAAACCATATAATTGTGTATGTTTATATATAAATAAAAATGTGTATATGGATAATAATAGGTTTAAATCAAATATTTTATGTGGTATTATATTAACACTCCTTTATTTTCTTCTAATTGGCATATTTATTTAATATTGCGTACAAATTTAAATATTTATGTACGTAATGTTGATGCTCTATCTGACGCCAATTAAAAAACTTTGTTAAATAAATAAAATGAATTTGAAACCAGAAACAAACTACGAAGAATTTTTGAATACTAATGTTTAATTAAATCAATGTTGAATATATTGTAAAGTAAAAATTACACAAGTCAAAATAGGAAAAGTGAATGTATACGGTTAAATTCAAATTAAAATCATGCATACCTAATTCAAAATTAAAAATTTACAATCTTATACATAGTATTCATACCATTACTCTCGATCGTCGTGATAAATGAGAATAATTTCCACTTAATGAAATGCAATTTCACATTACGTAATATAAATCCTGATAGTTATATTACATATATAATAAATTGCATTCATGTTCTGATTACTTTCATGTGTGAGCTTTTAATAACGTGATACATTCCCATAAAACCTACAAATTTGTAATAGCGCACGGGGGCGCGCTAGCAATACAAATCGCCCGACGTCAGAGTAGGGTAGCTGCGGGCAGTCACATTAAAATCAATGAAAAGATGAACACCCTCGTACGGAAGATTTCTATATATCCGGGGTTTATAAAGGAGAAATCTTTTATATTTATCTAGTAGAATCAAAAGGGAATTCAATGATGAAGATGTTATTAGACGAAGATTCGTATCAAGATATCGGAATTTTATAGCGGATTAATTCGTATGTATAACTTTAATGCATTGTTGCAAAATGTAAGTAATATTAAAAAAATATGTTCCAACATTGATACAGAATTCATTGATTTATTGTGTTGAAGAGTATTCAATAGTAATGTCGTCATCGGTATTTATGATTAGGAATATTTGAACTGAACTATATGAAACTCAATGTGAGAGTTTTTCTTATTATAAATACCTATCAAAATAGTACAATTACATAAACGTTTATAAAAAGGTCAAACAAATCTAATATTATTCAATAAAAAACGTATATGAATTATTCCAGAGAGTAACTATCTAATTATGGCTTAGACGGGTCAATAAACCAACATTTTTTGAGTGCTTCTATACATTGAAGACTACTTTTAGTTACTCATTTGAATGCTTTTCAATTTTTGATATATGACTACGGCTTCTGTCTTCATTTTCTTTTCAAATATCTTTCATTATTTTATTTTATTCTGTAAATAAATAATATTTTTACATTCTGTATTATATGTAATTTTATGTTAAGCACATTTTTAATTTTACTATATATATTGTAATTTTGTATATATATGTTAATTGTTACCCATAATGTAAAATAATTGTATTTTTGAGTTCTTTTGAAAGAAATCTGTGGGCTATATATTTAAAAATAAATAAATAAAATAAATAAATAAATATATATAAAATATTTACAAATCGTTCTATGTATTGTAAAATTGGGGACGTACCAAGGAGCATTTACTAAAATTTTGATTGGATACTATGCATCGTAACAATTATGTAATTCACCTATGTAGCTTTACAGTCTTTAGAATGAAAAGCAAAAGCTTAAAAAAAATATTGCTATCACAAATGAGAATTTGTTAGTTTTCTTCTGTAAAAATATGTTATATATTTATAACCATTTTTAAATAAATTTGCTCTTACCTTTTTAATATAATTCAAAATGAATTATGTGCTTTCCTATATTTTCCTTATATTCCACAAGAATAAAAATAGTTTTATAAAACCAATCTTTTCACTTCAATCACTTCAGAGACTTTCTAATTATGGCTTGGACAGGTCCACACACTAACATTCTTTGAGTACTCTACCTTGGAGACTACTTTTAGTAACTAATTTGGATGTTCATCAAATTTTGATATATGACTACGGCTTCTGTCTTTATTTACTTATATATATATATATATATATATATATATATATTATATATATATATATATATATATATATATATATATATATATATATATATATATATATATATAATATATATATATATATATATATGTATACAGGGCCGGATTTAGAAATTTCGCGCCCTGGGGCACTGACAAAAATGCCGCCCCATCCCTAAATTTTTTTATTAAAATAGTTTATATATATCATTTTTCTAAAATTAAAATAACTATTTGATTGCAAAAAATTATTACGCATTACATAGTGTAAATAGTGGTGCTTGGCATCGTGCCTTAAGATAAATTGCTGAAACTTTCAGTACCAAAAATTAAAATTTAAAAAAAAAATTAAAGCGATCGGCCTGCGTAAGTAAGTAAGCGCCGCCTCGCAGAATAACAGATAAATAATTTTGCAGAACTCATAGAAATGTAAACAAAATTTAAATTATTATAATATCTGATAATTTTATGTGCATATGGTTAATGATCATTTTGACCGCCAAATGTTTCTCTTTCAATTTTTTTTATTGGTCACCGAAACCGCTAGACCTGCCTTTCACAAACTTAATCAGTTCTCCATTTTGTCTATATATGTAAATTTCTTTTAATGATATTGGACGTTCCGTTTCTCAAAAAATGAATTATTATTTTTGGCATTTAGGCCCATATTTCCGAAACAGTTGGACCTGTCTTGGCCAATAACTAATCAGCACGTTTCGCTATCAATAGAAATCGAATTATTCAAATAAAATTCAATTTTAATAAGCTTAATAAATGAAACTTAATAATTTTCAAAAAATTTCGAACGTGCGTCACTAATTTAGTTTTTTTTTCATCGCTATGAGCTTGGAAGTGCACAAATTCGTCATCTTAAGAGGGCTCGAGATCTGAAGAACATCTTTATATTAGCCAAATTGCCAAATTTTGCAATGCATTTGTATAATATTTTGTTAATTATATTTCTTGAAATTAAAAATGTTATTAAAAAAATTATTTAATTATATGGTATAGAATTTTTTTTCACTATCCAAATTTTGCTGCCCCCGAAATTTGTAGCCCTGGGCAGTAGTCCCGACTCCCCCTACTGTAAATCCAGCACTCTATATACATGTATTTTAGAACACTTGAATAAATTGCACTGCACTGCATTATACATGTATAATAGAACTCTTGAATAAATTGAAAATATATTTTGATTTTAAAATTTAATTTTATCTTTAGTATATATAATTTCATACCAAGTACACAAATTTTTCATGTAGTCATTTTTATTTTTTTATTTTCTTATAAATTACAAACTGTCTACATAGAAAGACATTGAGTAATTAATTTGACAAATGACATAGAATTTCAAAAGGAAAACCCAGAGGTTCACTTTATATTAATGTACTAAATTATGACTTAATTAAAATTAGGTATAT